CTCAGTCAAACTACGAGATGTACTGGTGTGCCATTTATACTTTTTGGATTGAAATTCAACCTTTTTTTAAATTTCCAATATCCAATAAATTCTAACCGACACATCCACACTTGATTGGATAATTTAAACACATGACTTTAACGGGGTAGATGTGCGTGATTATTGGATAAATTTTTGCAGGCAAATTTTCCTGGATCAGCTTACGGTTTAAGGGATAGTGCGGTACTCCAACCATTCAGTATCGAGACCACCAATAAAAATTGGTATATAGTTAGCAAAATAAAATTTATTAATTTATAATAAATTTAATAAATTGTATTTTTAGGTAGATCTTTCGTCTATCATTAAATCACGTATAAATCACTAGCCTTTATTAGCTTAAGAACAAAAGAAATCGACACATGTGCAAAAATAATGAATTTCGTATTTCAGCACAATATAATATGCTAGCTATTTTTGCAAATAGCGTTATTTTAGATCATACTAAGATCAGATGATGTACGTATGTACATCAAGTTTATAATCTTATAATGATTGATGAAGTATAAGATGATTATTGTTTTTTTTTTTTCACAATGAAAAGAAACTAGTTCTTAAAAAGTTAAACTCATCACTTTACCTATTTATTATGGCACATTTCCAACATCATTCGATGGGTTTTATGATGAAACTATTAACTTCAGATTCCATGTAATTTTAAAAAACTAAAAATATCATTTGTATGAACTTATAAATTTATAAAATGACAAAAATATCGGCGTATTTAATTTTATAACGCATGGGTTAGTGTAGTTTGTTGAATCAAGGAGTCTGCGTCACATGAAAAACTTCTTGTGACAATGACTAGAGTCATCTTTAATTAATACTAAACTAATGAAAAAAAGGTCAAGATCAACAGATATAAATGGTAAAAAGCCATTTTAATATCTTTACTAACGACAGATTCGGAGTCATTTTATCGATAGAATACATTTCTTATAATATATATATATATTTGTTGATTTCCAGGAAATATGTATAAACGTTATATATTTATATATAGCCCTTATATATTTGAATTTTTTTTATTTGTCTTTACAAGATTTTAAAAGTTAGTTAAATGTCTGGGGATTATATAAGTAGTAATAATAGCGATGATAAAACATTCCTTTATTTATTCGCATTTCCTGACAAAAACTTTGAATGCCCAGTATCTGATTATTCAGAATATATAATCTATTCTGAGTTTTTAAATCAAGCAGGTCATATTATTGGTTATGGAGGAACATTATTTACTGTTGCTGTATATGGCCTTAAATCTCAATTTGGGTGGCGAAGCACTTTTTTTCTTGATGATTTTTTTATATTAGTCTTTTCAATTTCTCCAATTCTACCATTTTATATAATTGGTCAATTTTTATTAAAAAATGATACATTTTATTATAAAAATCATGCTATTTTTTTTCTTCTTTTAATATGGTTGTTTCTTGTTTGGTTAGTCGCTGCTATAGTTTTTAAATTTAACTTCCAACGTTCCTTTTTCAAAGATATTAGGGATAATTATCTCTCCAAAATACGTGGCTTTGTTTTATACATTATTTTATTTTATGCTGTTGCCATAACTACATTTGATATTGTTGATGTTAAACATTATAATCATGTCGAATGGTTGGAATTTCTTAATTTAGAATCATTAAATTTATTTGCTGATGTTGTTAATTTCGCATTAGCAATTTACTTAATTTGGTATTATCATATACTTAAACCTGGTGGCATTCCTCGTCGTGCATTTTTTATTGCCTTATTTGTATTACAAGTTCAATTATTCTTTTCATATGCTTATCTTTGTACTCTTCCTATTGTAGATTCTTTTTTTGATTTTATTCTTGGGGTAATTTTATCAAGAACTATTTCTTCTTTCTTTAGTAAAGATGATTTTGAGGGTTTTTTAATGGAGGTTCAAGATAAAAATTGTAAAGTAAACGAATCAATTGAAGGTATTCGAATGCAACATGATGAAGATGAAGCTGTGAAGGATTTTGAAACTGTCGCGATTAGTGAAAATGAAAAGGATGATGATGTTACTCCTGTCGCACAAACTAAAGTTGGAATCTTTAAAAAAATTATTGCTCTTTTCTTTTTTCTCAATATTGAAAATGGAAAATTGGTGTATAAAATTGACAAAGTTAGATTCTTGGGTGTACAACATTTAAATATAAAGGAAAGTATGGATATTTTTGTTGAGCATGGCTTTTTAAAAATAGAAACTGGTCAAATAATATATGTCGGAAAAAATAATCTTAAAAGGTGCATTAATTTAACTGATCATTGGCCACTAAAGATTGAATATGATAAAGTTTATGTCCAATCTCCTCATGGACAATCTTTTATTGACTTGACTGGTCACAAATTTTTTGAAATCAATCGTGGTAAAATTATGCATATGGAAAATGATAGGATCAAAGAAGTTATTGATATAGTCAATCATGGTTTATTGAAAATTGTGAAATTTGATTCTGGCTTTAAAGTTGTTTATATGAAAACTCCTAATGCCACAAGATTTATTGATTTAACTGAACATGGCTTGTTGAATTATATAGTTTATTCTCATAGAAGACATAGAAGACGTTATATTTTTGATTTTTAATATAGAATTTAATTTATTGAATGTTTTATAAATACCTTAATTTTTTTAGAATATTTAAACAACAATTTGTATTATTTATATAGTATTTTTTTTAATTGTCGAATTCATATTATTTTGTGCTTCTATTTTTAATATTATTATAATTATGTTAATTTTAAATTATAATTAATTATTAATTGACGGAAAATTTTTATTACAAAAAAAGTTTGATAAACAAAAATCGTTAAACAATTTAAAGAAGCTTGATTTGTAGTATAATCTAATATTCAAACTTATTATAGATGATTTATGTTTTTTATATACTTAAACTAGTCAATTTTCTTTTTCAGTATCCACATTTTATATTTGTGTAATATAAATAATATGTGTAAAGTAATACAATTTAATGAATTTGTGAAATGACTTTATTTTAAATCCTCTATACAATTTACGAATCTGTTATATAATACTAAAATATTAGTATTGGAGTCTAGAAGTTTAAAATTAAAAATCAGAACTGGAAAACGATTGCTTTTTTTTTTACCATTTTAAAGGCGAGGATACAGAAATTTGCGGATCATTAAATGCGTGTTGACAAGGGTCAACGAAAAGAAAGGGATGAATTGGCCTGAGGTTGCATGCCACATGTGCTCTCAGATCATAGGACGAAAGACATGAGTCGTAACAAAGTAGGGATTGGACCCGTTTAAAAAAATCCAATCCAGGTTACCTGTCGGTTAATTGCTAACCTACCTGGGTAAGTACCTTAATCTACAAAGCATAAGATTTATTGGTTGAGGTAGTACCACGTGACCAAGTACATAATGAATAGTGCCCGCCCGGACGAAATATAGAAAATATTTTCATTTGATTGGTTACCTGTTTTTACCTGGGTAGCAGAATCTTTACCCAGTTGCACGACCTATCCGCGAGTAACCCGAATACGGGTCTAATCCTTATTCTGCGGACTTCATGTCTTTTAATTGAATTTATTTCCGGTACCTTTGGCTAGCCGGCATTTATCCCCTAGTCATGCCGATGTTTTTGAAAAACTCAATTTAGCATTTTCCGATTTCTTAAAATTATTCCGATATGAGATTATCATATTGAAAAGTTTTAAGAAATCAGAGATCGCTTAAAAATCGGATGAAGTTATTTTGTACTAATTTAAGTCATTCCGTACGTACGGGATCCGATCAACTCACCGACAATCACTTCGTTGACACCACCTTCACCAACAATTACTTACTGACAAGTTCGTTTCACCGAAGCTCATTTTACAAATAAAGTAATTTTGGGCAATATCATTAGGATCAGGTTAGAATTAGATCTAAAGTTAGCGCTTCGGTGAAATAGACTGTACTGTCGGTAAAATGAACTTGTCGGTGAATAATTATGGATCCGGTTTTCTGTGTCAGGTTGCGCTGATCATGTCGATCATCACGTGTATATCATTGATGATTTCTCAATTAACTACTTAATCAAATTCGGCAAAATTTTTATTTATTTTAATTCTATAGTTTTATAGAATAAAAATAAAAAAATGTTCATTGAATTTGGTTTAGTGGTTATCGAGAAATCATTGTTAAACTTTTTAGAAAAAGTTTTAAAAAAATTGGGTAAAATTTTCATTCTTTGAACTTTAAACAAAGATTTTTCGGCAACCATTCAAAATTTGATGAAAATTTTTTTATTTTGATTCTATAGGTTTATAGAAATAAATAAAAAATTTTGATCGTATTTAAATGGTTGGTTGTCGAGAAATATTCATTAAAGGTTAAAAAAAATTTGGCTGCAGCTTTTCTTTTATAGAGGTCCAAACTTTGAACGAAGATTACTCAATACTTACCAAATTCGATCAAAAATTTTTTTATTTTAATTCTACGCGATCATAGAATTAAAATAAAAGAATTTTTGATCAAATTCGACTGGGTAAGTGCTGAGTAATCTTTGTTCAAAGTTTAAGCCTCTATAAAAGAAAAGCTGCGGCCAAATTTTTAACCTTTAATGAATATTTCTCGACAACCAACTATTTAAATTCAATCAATGTTTTTTTTAATTTAATTCTATGATTTAATAAGATTAAAATAAATCAAAATTTGAGATCTTCATATGATAGCTATAGCGCGTCTATATATTAAATAAACTTCTTTTTCATAATCAAATGAATGCCAATTTTATAGTAATTAATGAAAGAAATTATGATAATTCCAATACAAGCTAACTCACCTTTCATCATTATCAGAATAGCAAGTACTGTAATAACAAAATATTTACAGTAACTCGTGATAGAAATTGTGATGATTCTTATGCAAGCCAACTCAACCAAACCACATAGAAAATACAAGACAATTCCGATGCAACCTAGAGATAACTACCCCAGTAGCACCGACAGATTTTCACTGATCGACATAAATTGACCAATTAGATTTTAATATCAGGTGTAACATGAAAATCATGCGTTTTTTTAAAATAGCAAATAACTCAAAATTTTATATATGAAACTACTTACTGTGCATTAGTAAAAAAAATTCCTTGCCAAATTT